ATTCCAAGCTGGTGCAGAAGTTTTCGTCAATGAGCTGGACCTCGTCGTCGCCCTGATCCTTCTGATTCGCCTGCTCTTCGAAGCGGAGGCGTTGGTCGAAGGGGTCGTTCAGCTCAGTATACGCGTTGACAATCTCCTTCTTACAGACGAAGGCTTCGAAGCGTTCGCAGAGACCCGGTTGCGAGCGGTGGTATTTGGCGAGCGGGGACATCATTTGTGGGTGGCCGGTTATGAAGGTGGGGTTAATGCAGGTTTCTTCTATGAACTCCCCGACCATCTGGCGGGGTTAGCAAGTGAACGGGCTAAAGTGAGGGGGGGCTTGCCTTGTCGAGAAGACGAGCGTTGGTGAGAGGCGGAGAGCACTCGATTCCGTGTGCCTTGGCAACATCCTTGAGGAATTCGTTGGTCTCCTTAGTGTGCAATTGATCACCTGGCGGGAACTTCCTTCCGGTAGCGGCCTCGAGAGTAGGCATCATTTCAACTCTCTTCCACGGTCGCTCCCAGTTCACCTCATACACTTCCCCAGCTTGAGTGTGGAACTTGGTCCTGTAGCTGCCGGTAATGCTCTTCACCATTTCGGAAACTAGTTCCTCAGTAATATCCAAAAGGTCATTAACATCCGCATACGCCCAGTAAAACTCGCAAGTAGTGAACTCGGGATTGTGAGTGAGATCAATCCCTTCGTTTCTGAACTGTCGGCCGATCTCATAGACGCGTTCCAGACCTCCGACGACGAGCATCTTCAAGTACAACTCGGGAGCAACACGCATGAAAAGGTCCATATTCAAGTCGTTGTGATGCGTAACGAACGGCTTTGCAGTAGCTCCTCCGGCGATAGCATTCATCATCGGCGTCTCCACCTCCACGAAATCCCTCTCGTCAAAGTACCTACGCACGTAGGTCACGATCTTACTCCTCGTGACGAAAATATCCCTCGTGCTATTATTCATAATCAGGTCAAGGTACCTCTGCCTATACCTAGTCTCTTGGTCCTTCAAGCCAAAGTGCTCGGTGGGGAGCATATGCAGACAGGGCGAGAGCAAGACAACCTCCTTCGCAAAGATCGAGAATTCGCCAGGGTTGTCGGCCTTCTTCGGATTAGTCCTTCCGGGGAAACCGACGATACCAATGATATCACCGCGATGGAGGTATTCGTGCTGGGCTCGGTAATCGCCCACGGCCTCCTGGCCCTGAGCGACCACTTGGATCTTGACGCCCTCTGCGCGGAGGTCGTAGAAGCGGAGGCGAGAGCCGGCGGAACGCAGGCCGTGGATGCGCCCCGCTACACGGACTTCTGATTCGGGCTTTGTCTCGCCCTTGGCTAGTGTGCCACTATGGGCCTTGATGATGTCCTCAAGCGTGTCCTTGACCTGGAACTTGTGCGGGTAAGGGTTTGGTTCCTTGGTCTCGCGGAGACGGTTTATTGAGCGGGAGCGGATCTCGAAGTATTGCTATTAACACAAGGACCAATCAATAAACCAACTCCATCCATATATAGAGGCAGAGGTAAGGAGAAAGAATAACAAACATTCGGCGTAAGTTCCGCCTCATCCAGCTGCGTCCCCGTCGTCAGGGCCACAGCAGTGCTACCTCCTGGAGGAGCAGTGGCTGCAGCCGCAGCCGCCTTTCCAGCCTTCTTTGCGTCATTGTCTCTCTTCCTCTGTCTCTTCTTCAATTCCGACTTGGAGACCATTTCCCCAGTAGCCTCATCGAGGTGTAGATTCGGAGAGTTTCCGGCTAGTGCCCTGTGTTGCTGTTGCTCGGACATTTTGGTACTATAGCTTGAAGCTTACAGGCGGAGGAGGGGTTTTATCTGCTTAAATGCTCCAACGTTGGGTTGAGTCAATTGAGGTTTGACTCAGAGGATAGAAGTGTTCAATGGGAGGGCCTGTTGCCAAGAGGAATCTGGGCCCCGCCAAAATGAGGGGCGCTGAAAGGGTTTATGTAAGCTGGAGGGCGGCAAACCTGTCAACTCCGAGTGATGGGAGGTGCGGATGAGAGACTCCCCAGTACAGTAAGGTGAGATCAGGTTTAAACGCTTTTGTATAATACGGTATAATACGGTTTAAAAAACGTATTTTATTTGACCCTTAAATTTGGGTACAAGAAAAAAGAAATCATTGAGAGAACGGGAGAGGGAGAAAGAAAATGCACTGCCTTGGATTAGAGAATTTACAGAAACAAGCTGCCTATTCCCATACAGCACTAGTCCATTTGTAGCCTCTTGAATCCCCTGACACCAGTACCTTCCTTTGTACAACAGTCATATTATCATTGAAAGAAAAAAATAATACTACAAAGGGTTAATGTTTTAGGGTTTATAATTTCAGGGTATGTACAGTATGTATTGTACTCGAGTATTGTATAAAGTAACTGGTCAAATATACGGTATAATAATATCATGGTAAATATACGTATATTTGATTACCCTACTCCCCGGACCTCATTTATCACAGCCAAATTTGCTCTATTCCCTCACACGTCGTGGAAATCACCCGAATTGGGACACCACCTCAAGTAATCCATTCTCCCTCCTTCGGGAAATAATTAAATGCACCCACGGCCCTATCGCCAGCCCACCGGCCACACAGAATGAAACATACGATAAAAACGAAATAGTCGTTACAATGTCAATAAAAGCGCAAGATAAAAGAATAAAGAAGACATTAAAAAGCCAAGAAATGCGCCAGCCTGTATTGAAGAGAGAAAAAAGCTAAGTAGAACGAAATAACATCCGTAGAAAATTACAATCTCATAAGAATCGGTACAACATTAAGTAAGCAATCCTGTGGTTTAAACATTTCCTATCTGTTTCGTTAGCTATCTTTTTCTACGAGAGACTTATTGGGGAGGAAGAAGGGCATACCGAGAACAACCATGAATCTCAGTCTAGCATCCTTATCCACGTCCCCTCCGATCATCCCCTCTTCAAGTATCAAACTACTGCTCTTCCACCCCTGCATTAAGTTGTCAGTATCCGTATTACAATAGTAAGGGGAGGAGGGCACATACCCAGCTCTGCGAAAAATTAAAACTATCCGGCCCGGAAGAAAACATGCTCAAAACTTTGCCCTTTCTACTAGGACTAAATATCTTGAAGTACGTCTGAATCATAGGCCTGGAATCAACGTAATACGGAACCGCCGGCACACCAACTTCCGAAGACGAAGGTTGAGGCACAGCAGACCTGGCAGCACTAGTATTGGCCCCGGGTCTCCCCGACGTGTTCCCATCGGTAAAGGTGGATGTCGTGACATCTCCATCGGTGGTAACAGTCACATCCCCAAGACCCTCAGCCGAATGATTCGTGCTGCGAGTATGCAACTCAAGAGTGCCAATCTTCTCGTCTACAGTAATAACCTGTCCAACACTTTCGGCATCTCGTGAGGCGGATGAGCCACCATGGCTTCCGCCCGCAGTCTCCCCTTTGGCTCGGTGGAGGTAGACACCGAGTTGAAGGTTCTTACTACGGACCTTCTGAATATAAATGTTCCAGTGACTTCCAGCATAAAACACCGTCTTTGAGTATACTCTCTTCTTCTCTTTGAGACAGTGAACGCTCTTGAACTCCGCTGAGAACCTGAATGGTGGAAACTCGGAGTACCTTAGCTCTTCGAACGGGATAGACGAATCCCTGTCTTCGTCACCCCCGGCTCGCTCCACGCCTGTCTGGCATTCAGAAGCCCTAGAAGTAGAAGTCCGATGGGCTGGGTGAGAGACAACAAGGTGCTGAGGAGTATCCTGACAATCCCCAATAACCGTGGTCGTGTCCTCAGTAGGAATATAATACTTGCGCTTAGTCTGGCGCCCGCGTATAGTAGTTGGCGTATCGGGTCCATCGAGCCCATCATCTCCATCATCCTGTCGCGTAGGAGTAACTCGCCCTGATCCTGAATCGCCCAATTTCTCGCCAAACCTTGGAGTCGGCAATCTCTGAGAGCTCTTCCTTCCCAGAGGTGTAGGTTGGCGTACGTTCTCTGTCTCGGTAATGCCAAGATCAGGGCTATTTAGCGGAACATTCATAACCTTCTGCCTCAATCGGATCTGGTTCCAGAGCGCTTCTCTGATCGTGTCCTGAGTTACTGTCCTTCTTCCGAGAACATCTCGGCTATTCTCAATCTTCTGCAATTCCTCGAAGCTCATATGGATATAGTAGATGCCCTTCTCCAAGAGCTCTCTCAAGGGCTTAACGTCAGTCTCGTCTTCCTCGAAAGCTGAAGCCCCATCCGCATCGTAATCGTCGTCATCCAAAGAACATCCCTCGTTAGTTGCACGGTTATACGAGAAAGAATGGCAAATCCGCCAGTCAATCATCTCCTTCACGAAGCAGTATCTCAACCACTCGCTAGGGACGTAAAACCCATCATAACCAATAATCTCAGCTGCAACCTCACCACTAATCCCCTCCCACTCCTCAAAACTCATCTCCCACCCATCCCGATATAGCATAGCTTTAGCGCTCTCCATTAGTCTGTCTGTGAGCGGACCGTAATAGCTGTTTGTGACAAATCTAGCGACGGTAGAGATATTGCTTGTTTTGAGGTTTCTGAGTAAGGAGCTGGCACAAGACTCCGCGAGGTCCTGGAGATCTAAATAGCTCGCCGCAGCCAACAATGGGAGGGCGTGACGGTCCTCCTCGGTTCTGTCGACATGGCCGTACAATCTCCCTAAAGCAAGTTCAAACGCATGCTGCGTGATATTAGGATCTGATGGAGACAATGAGATCTCCGATGAGGTAGATTCCAGCCAAGGCCCGCCGTTGAAGCATGATGAGAAGAAAGGCGATCGGTCCAGGATAAGTCGATGCAGGCAATATCGAGAACCGAAAGCGATGATGGTGACATCGCTGCAAGCCCCTTCCAAGAAACCACGGGTGTAGAGGAATTCTTCCAACTTGACCGAGTCAGAACCTATCATCACACGTTAGCTAAGCTTTCCCGCGGAGAGAAAGAAAAAGGGAAAAAAAGCTATGTTAGGGCTGAGCAGTTTCCTACCCCGATAACTGCAATTCCTTCCGCTCCGACTAAACGTAGCCTGCGGGGTTGGTGTTGCAAAGAGCCTCGAGAAGGTATTCGGCGCAGAAGCCTTGTCTAACTGGCCCACAGGGGTTGTTGGATCGTCCACCTCCTTCACGGCAGGATCAGAACCAGTCCCGCGGCTACTATTCCCACTCGAGCCCCCAGTCACAGCAGTCGCCTTAACACTCGAGCTCGCAATGGCCAGAGGGCTACCACTTCCACAACTATAACTCAGAGGTCGGGAGGTGAAGGAGTGGAGCCGAGCACCCGCGTTGCTATAGGGAACGGCCAACAGAGAGGATGCGGAGGATCCGATGCCGGGATTATTAAAGATTGATTGTGAAGGGTGGTTGAAAAGTGGAGCCGATGACGGGGATGTGGGCGAAATAGGGGAGGTGACTGGTGATAGTGTGAGGCCTTCCACCAAGTTGCATAGACCGTCCCGGTGCCCGTCGACATTACCACTGCTACTACCACTTCCACTGCCGCTACCACTACTACTCGCGTTATTGCTATTCCCACTGCTATTGCCGGTATACCCGTTATCGCCCGCCGTCATCCTGTAGGAACTCGTTTGTTGGAGGCTCGCTCCGTTGCGACACTCGACCAGCGTGCTGGCAGACTCAATGACCAAGGAGGCCCGGGGGGGGGGATCGGGATGGGTGAAGGCAGAATATCGATGCAGGTGATACAGAGGTGGAAATGATGGGAGTGCGAAATCGGACGTGTAACGGTCAAAATAGAAAGATAGTGAGGTGGTGGAGGTTGTAATATCGTGTTGGAGGTTGTAATATCGTGTTGGGAAGAGCTTGCTCGAAGCTAAACGAGCTGTTAACCAAGGACCCCCCCCAAGGGCAAAATAGAAATAGTCAAAGAGACTACGGTACCGAGGTCTCTTTTTTCTGCTTGTATTTTTACGAAAGAAAGAAGTGCTATCTGTTGAGCAATTGGCTTGAAGCCTTTAGAGGAGAAATGGGAATCGGGAAAAAGGGAGGAGCCCGGGGGCGGACGGTGCTCCGCAAGCCTGCTTGGGGGTTCTTTCAATCGGGGGGAGGAGGATAAGGAAGGAGAGAAGAGGAAATTCCGGCAGAGTACGAGGACTGTGCTCGAGTACAGTGCCGTATGTACGAGTGCTGAACTGCCGGTATACTGGTCGGAGTTTGACTGGGATCAAAGCACGGAGGAGCGGCCGGATTTTTTTTTTTAAATCATATGCTTGTTGATTCTGGTTCAAAAAGGTACATGCACCTCGCGGTATGGCAATAGAAAAAACCTTAATTCCGATGCAACAACATCAAGGAAACATAACCAATGCAGCAGTATCTTCAAAGGGAGCAAAATAGCCCCTGGCATCGCCCACGATGACTAACAAAGTAAAGTAAAGAAATCCCTCTCATAGGTACTAGTCCTAATCGGCAGAAGACACAAGTAAGGAAAACCTATACCACTCCAACACTCAGGTGCTCCTGGGCACTGAAACAAGTAAGGAAAATAAGAACAGCAAAAACTCAGGCCCTATGGGGCCCCTGAACTAATGAATAAGGTGAAGAAGCCGACCCTGAAGAGGAGGTGGAGGGTGAAGCAGTATTCATTCGAATAGTAGGCATCTCAAGTGGAAAGTCCTTTACCATAGAGGAGATGTAATTAGCCAACTCAAGTATTAGGTTGGCTGAGAACAATAAGGGGGCATTAGGACCAAGGCTGTCAATGCCCTGAATATGGGCTTCGTACTACCTAGCCTTAGCTGGGCAAAAGAGGATAGCATGTTTGAAATCGTTTTCATCTTCTTCGCAGAAAGAACCGAGTATAGGCTCATTACTAGAGTACCATGACCTGTGGGCAGTCAGGTAGCTGTTACTTGACTGCATCTGATGGAGACGGCCTGCCACGAACCGCAGAAGGCCCATGAAGATGGGGGGGTGGTTGAGGGTGCAAACTGGTAGCATGCCCGGGGTGGCCTGGACTTCACCCACTCCACTAGCAGGGACCCTTTCAGTTTCGAGTTCAGAGCATAATATGAGGGAGAGCCCCTGGTTTCATAACCCCACAGTACAATTAGCTGAGGGCAGGCCAAGGGAGGGACAGCTGGCAAGAGGAACTTTATTAAGGGCACGGCTGCTTCCAGTAGGAGGTGCTTGTAGTTGGAGGAGGGGGTGGAGGACCAGAGTATAGGTATGGCATATCCTTTAAGACCCTTGAGCAGAGAACAATTGGAGGGAGTCCACCACTTGTCCCAGGTTGGCACCCCAGGATGGAGGCAAGCTGTGGCAGGGTTGACAGAAGGGGGGCAGCATGCTAACCTAAGAGCAGCAGCCCTTTATTTGTGCAGCAAAAACTCTTCAAGTAGAGGAATAGTGGCCCCGTAGTGGAATGCAGCTGAAATAGGTGTGGAGGAAAAAGAGTTGCTCACCCATTGTAGGACCCGGTGCTAAGAAGAATGGAGCTTTTTAAGCATGGTAGTATTGGTAGCGAAAAGGTCACTACCGAAAGTGAGGATAGGAAGCAGGAGGCCCACTATGAGCTTGTGATTGCACCACGGAGACAGACACCCCGCAGGGCTGCTGAGGCAACGAACCAAAATGAATGAGGCCTGAGCAAGGGCCAGATGCCATATAAAGTGAGAAGTAGTGTCCATGGTAGGGGTAAGCCAATAGCCTAGCCACCAAACCTGAGACCCAGAGGAAAATACCAAGCTGTTAAGACCGATAGGCAAGGAGTACACAGGACGTCTGTTCCTAGGCATGTGCCTGTGAAGAAGCTCAGTTTTTGGAACAGAAAAGGAAAGATCCACCCTCTACCCTATCCTTTCAAGTACACGAAAGTAAAACAGAAGGAAGCAAACATTCCCATGATACAAAGGAGAAGATACAGTAATGGAAAGGTTATCCACATAGGAAACTATTAGTCCCTTCAGGATAACTCAGTGAAGAGAAGAAACATACATAACAAACAAAAGTGAAGAAATAGGAGACCCTTGAGGGGTACTGATAGAAACAGCAGAAAACACATCAGGAGCACCTTAAAAAACCAAGCGGCACTTGCGTTAAGAAAGAAATGGTATCACCCATTCTACCAGATAGGATGGAACCTGGACTCTGTAAAGAATAGTAGCAAGTTGGTTCCTATTGACATTATCAAAACACCCTTTGATGTCAAGGAAAAGTGAAGAAACACAGAGGCCCCTAGCTTGGAAAAGCATAACCTCGAGGGAGACAGTGGATATTGCGTCGCAGTAGCTTAGACCAGTTAGTGAACCATACTGGTTCAAGTGAAGGAGCCCCTTGAAATGAGCCAAGGAAGCAAGGTGCAGACCGACAATATGCTCAAGGATATTAGAAACTGTTACAAGCAACACTATTATCCTGAAGGAGGAAGGAGAGGAATAGTCAGGTTTGCCTGGTTTATTGAGAACCACGACATTTGCCCTCTTCATAGAGGGCAGGTGGTATCTGTAGGACAGCAGAGTGTTGAGTAGTGCTGGGAGCAGTCAACCATTAGCGCGGTGAACCCTCTTCCATATGCCAGAAGGGATGGAGTCTGGTCTAGGGGCAGAGTTAGAGGACAAATGCTGGAGCACGGTGGAAACCTTAGCAGGCATGATTCCTGGGACCTCATGAACAGGCGGAAGAAGAAAGTACGTACATGGACCTGGAGGCAGTGTAGGGAAAAAATGTGTAAGAAGAGACGAGTTGATTTCCCTCAGAGAGTGTGTATCAGGAAGTGAAGAAAACCTTGTCAAAGGACACCTATAGGCCAATTTCTTGGCCGTTCATATGAACTGAGAGTTGACTCTGGAAAGGAATGTTTTTCATTGAGCAGCCTTGGCCCTAACGATAGCCTTGAGGTAAGCAGATTGGCCCAGCTTAACCTAGACTGGAGGAGTGGCTGGATAAAAGACCTAATGATGTACTCAAGTACTTGAGTACAAGTATTATTGGTATGATGATACTAAAGTATGGTGTGTGGAAAAAATTAACCAAACACCTTGGTGGACATGGCAACCCATCTCTCCTAGGCAACCTCACATACCCAACACTCCCACCAAAGTCATTACCACTCAAGAACTACCATATAATACTTGCTCTTTTGTTATTCTAAGAAATAATGGCTTCTATTCTTCACAGCCATGGACACAAACCTCAGGTGGCTGACAGGGTTTTCAGCTACCCCTTGTTATTAGCCACCCTGTAACACATACATTACTACTTTATTGTACCTGCATCTATCTCCACCATTCTGCTCATACAATGAATATCTGCAAGACTGCAATCAAGCAAGCCCTAAATGATATAAAAATAGTACTTCGAAATGGAACATGGCAAAGGATTTTAGAATTCCTTGCTCTATTCTCAACAGTCAACATTGGGGTACTACCAATACACATTCTGGTCATGCATACCAGTAGCACCTTTTGTCAGACCAAGAAGACAATTTATGTGACTGGATAAGTGAGTACTGGCAAAAGGCTCATGGCTATGCCCCCTCATACAAGCATCTCTAGGAAATAGCTATTCTCAATTTTAAGGCATCTGAAGTGGAAAAACTACTTGGCAAGTGATGAGTACCAAACTTCCCCAAGGGCAACCGATATATCTCAACTCTGTTAGGAGGCTTAATTGATATTATACATATGAATACACAGACCTCTCCCATGCAGAGACCTTCTGAAAACTGCGAAGATTCCACGGCCAAGACCCTCCTCTGGGCCTGCTATGGGGCAGGTATATAGTAATAGTGTCCTTAGACTTTGGCATCCTGTCAGTATAAATCAGTGAAAACAAAACAGACTTCATAACGCTGTATGTCATTGCTGTCTGTCCAATCTGAGGCACTTGGCAGGATATATCAGAAGGGACCTGAGGCTGTGTCTGAAAAGTAGAATGGAGTCAATCGGACAGGTAGCCATGGAGTTACAAGGTAAGCAAGATTGACTATCTCAAATGTAGACAGAAAGTGTTGCAATGAAATCCCTAAGAGTTCAATGAGTTATCAGGATGTGCCTGTATAGATAAGGCATGGGGTCCAGTCTAGTGCTTGTACAGTATAGAGGTAACTAGAGGCCTATCTGTAGGTGAGGGACTTTCCCATGATATTAACTAGTCCGATTGTGGTGGAAAGTCCTTAAAGTTAATGTAGTTGGGTTACGAAATCAATGATGCATTGATAAGTCTTTCAATGGAGCTGATTACTCCAGTCAGAGTAAGGAGGATAGTGTGTTGGCTCGAGGTGAGACCACTCATCATACTTAAACCTTCAAGATAAAGGCACTGTGCATTTTTACTGCAGAGGTTTCAAACGTCCTTGCTGAAATACAATAATATATGGAGACTGTAGTCAGAGCCCGATGTGAAGTTTATCCATGTCAAATAGATCTCTATTACAATAGTAAGAGGTAGGAAATGGAAATAGTACATTGTTTGGTATTAGATAGATGTAGCCCATGACCACGCAGACACAGAATATAAATATCAAAGTACCTCCTTAGCTTCCAGAACATGCTCCGCGCCCTCTACTTTCCTCTCGCTTAAAAACATTACCACATTCCGCCGGGCAAAACTCCAGGGTTTTGCGTGGCAACCATCTCCACACACCTAACTCCTCCCTCGCTTAGGCTTCAGTTTCTAAGTGCATAGCTCCCTCACTACCCCACACAGCCCCCTTCGTCATGGAGGGGTCTGGTCCGGGGCCTTCAAGGTCTGGCTCTCGAGCCTCCAGCCGTGCCTCATCCTATGAGTCAAGGGCTCCAACCCCCTCGCTTCCCACTCATCTCTCCCTGATAAGGGAAAAAGTAGCAAGAACTCTCCGCCATATAGGACGAGC